GGTTTTTTTATGTTAGCTCTCAAAGCTGTCGCATGCTATATCCTATTGTTGCTATAAGGTTGAAAATAAACGTTTTCTCGCGATGGTGTCAAAGACTTCTATGACTTCGACCGAAAACGTGCGAAAAGTTACTATCTACTTCGACGTGGCGATTTTGCTGTCTAAACAACGATCGCAGAGAAGAGATGGTGGTGATAGTGCACCTACTTCATGTTTTTCATTCCTCTTTAGTCGAGTACTATAACCCAGTTGATCCTGAAGTTTGTACAAACCGCATGCGATCCTAGGTAAGGTATGTTTAAAAGTGGTGTACGCACATGAGAATCTTGGACCCAATTATAATGGTGACCGATCACCATCGGAGAGAGTTATGCCATCTAACGCGGCGACCCTTAACTTTTCTGGCACGTTATCGACCCTAGTTTAAGTCTTTCCTGTAATATTTACACAGTAGTTTTCAATGCTGACTTCTTATTTACTGCCTTTTACTAGCTTTCTTGGCAGAGCATTATTTATGAAACAACTACAATGATTCTGAGATATTTGCAAAACTCTGGACCGTAAGTGTCTATGGTGGGAACGAACACGCTGTTACCCTTTTCCGGGGTCTAACGCGCTCACCACCACATCATGCGGGTTCTTCGTTTTGCCTGTCTCTCATCTAGTTCAGTCGATCACTACCATTAGCAATCACCCGTGAACGTGATTGATCTAAGGAGTCCAGATCGGCATTGAACCCGGTTAAGCTGAGGCTATAGTTGAAATTCACAATGTTGATTTTTTATTTACTGCCTTTTACTAGCATTCTTGGCAAAGCATTTTTGTGAAACAACCACAATAATGCTGAGATCATCTCAGCGTCATTGTGGTTGTTTCACAAGTTTTCCTTCGACTCGCACTTCTTCAGTTGAGCGAACATCTTATCTTGTTTGCATCGTAGACATGTTCATATAGTACTCGCACTTCGATGTCCAGTGCGTGGTGGCTGTCAGTTGTTAGACCGCGTAGGTCGCGTAGTCGTTTTCATGCTATGAAATTCAGCACGAGACGATGTTTTAGACAGCGACGGGGAAGCTATATCGGTTGTCCAGCTAATATAATCTCCTTTCTCATTGGCAGAACTTCCTCTACTGGTCGGAAATACTTGCTAGTACTACATGTAGCAAATCCGAGGACTGTCTTTGTATTACTCTCGGCATTGGTGAATAATTCGTTTCCTTTATGAGCAGACTCGAAGTTGTTCCTACGCTACTCGTTAACAATAACGCTCTTTTAGCGGTTTAGCTTTCTTCATTGTCCAGTTGCTAAACCATCAGTCATAGTGTATAGGTTTCACCCGAAAAAGAGAAGCCATTCTTCCCTCCGTTTTTCAAATTTCACCTATTTCTATAAAGAAGCTACACCACAAAGTGATACCGAAAGCCAAGTGATAATAACATACTCCTTCATTATCTGTCCTTTAACCCCTCACACACGAAAGTATGCTTTTGCAAAACATGTTTCGAACAGACACCAGTGCGCATGAGAAGACAGCAGAAGGTGGAATTCATGGAATTGGAGCCTTATATGCCCATTTCCATTGGAAAGAAACTGTAGCTCTTCAAGATGGGTGTAGACGAAAAGCAAAGCCTTTAAACCACATATCTAACAAAACAAGGACCCTTTTAACCTAAAGTTTATTTCTAAAGAAGTAGCCACAATTATAAAGCAATCTTTAAAAAGGGACGGTCTAGAGAGTCTAGTCTAGATGAAGTTTGGGAGTGTTTTTGTAAACACTGAATCGCAAGATATTCGGAATACAGCGTTTCCACTTGCTTACCATAGATAGTGCCTAACGCTCGTTGATTTGAGAAAGGCTTGCTGGCTTGCGATTAGAATTCTTCCAGTACGGAAGCAGTTCCTAAGAGGATAGTCCGAATCCCCATAAAAAATTGTTTAATTGGACTGAGGCAAAATTATCGCCACTGCATTCTTTTCACGTTACCGATTAAACGCAGGGCGGATGTCTACCAGTTAAACCGTCTCTTAATCACAAAAACTATGATGTGATTAGAACATAGCGCTAACTCAAAATTAGACATGACCTCTGATTTATATAAGTCCATACGAGGTGAGTGAGACTCACCTGGTATGTCAAATGTATTTGTTGTCCACTTTAAAGCAAGTGTACTTTGATAAATAAGATAGACAAAAAGACCCGGTTAAGTCCATTTAACATCTTGAAAGGCTTGTTAGTGCTCTCGTTTGTTGCTTTCGATATGGATGCTCAGTGGGTTGCTGCCTTAGTATAATAAATTTCAATACACGATACATAGGAATGCTTCAATGAACGGCTTTTAGGCAGTATCAGCGTTCGGATTCGGATCAGTTTATACCGCCGGTGTTTGCGTCTTTAAATATCAAGCCCGAACATTGCAAACTTGTAGTCAACTACGAAAAATCATTAAATCGGTTTGTCAACATACTGCAGGAGTTTCGAAACTGCAAGAAGGGTTCTAACTTTCATTCACTACCCATTCTTTTTCCAAGGCAGGCTATGATGTGGCCTACAACCACAAGGATGCTGGAATATGAGCAAAACCAGAGAGCTTAGCTAGGTTTCCAGCGAATTAACACACGGTTCACGTGCCATCGACCACATCAACCTGAGCCTTTGTTTGCCTCTTTCTCAGGCATAATGAAGGGTGATTATTGATAGCATCGATTGAGCGTCGATAAAGTAAAGACAAGATTGAGATATTGACAAAGCAAGGACTTCGTTTGGTGTGGTGGATAGCACACTAGCACTCAGTAAGGGCAATCACGGGTTCTCCTTGTGGTTACAATGAATGTATCAGTAGCTGCCTTCATAGAAGATGAAGTAATGTGACGATGGTAGCAAGCCTATATATGCACATTAATTAACACCAGAAAGCTACCGTGAAGAATGTGAAGAATCAAGATGCATGAGTCTGACGTGGTCATATTTGTGGATGAGAATATCAGCCAGGGGCAGATTTGGCCAAGATGACCTTGGCTCTTCAGGAAAACAGTGACAAAACAGGCAAAACTCCGAAAAATGGAGAATATGCTGGGATCCGCACAGTCACTGAAGAAGGACTGCCCAAGAATCCAAGTATACAAGCAATAACAGCCTTCCCACCCAAGAATTTCACTCCTTGAGACCAATTAACATTCGCCAGCAATAACTTTCGGTTATTCTTGAGGAATCTCATCCATTGATTTAGATAGTTCACCTGAGTGTCACTCCTGATTCTGTTAATCATCGAGTAACACGATATATAGTAAAATATCTGTGGTTGGTAAGTGAGTCCCGCTTTCAGAGTGGTCGACGCCTTTCATTTTTCCCGCGCGTGGTGGTAAGGTAGTAAAGCATAGCTTGCTGCACTCTACAGTTTGTAGTGTTACTGTTAACTGGGAATTCGAATAGAAGTGTCTGACTCTTTTTTACCTTGCCTGACCATGAAATTGGGATGATCTTCTGTCGTACAACGACATTGGAGTACACACTTCCACTAGAACAACGATGAGGTGAAGAACTACTAGACATAGCTGTTCTTTAAATATGCACAATGAGTGTTGTACTTTCAGTGCGTGCATAAATACATTTATTTTGCTTATTAGTTTAGGACTCGTTTTACTTTCTCGGTTTCGTGGACGGAGAAGAATCAAGATAGAGTGTTAGGCGACAACTCATTAGTTCTATCGGTTCGAGAGTATGCATATACTTAGTAATCACTTTGTTAATTCAACTTGCTTGATTGATCTAATTCATTAAAAAGATAGCACCGTTTTAAAAATAGTAGATGGCAAGTAAAATAGAACAGTGATAAATAGAACACGTCAAATGATGTTCGGAAGTCATCGCAAAGGATAGACTCAAATAAGTTTTGTGATCCGTAAATACCATTTATCTGACCGTTGCATAAAAGATGGAAAAGATCTCCATGAAGGATTGAAATGCACTGACTTAGCGCAGTGCAGTCGAATCGCCGAATTTTTTGTTATTCCTCGCTTATTGCCACGGATAGGGTGACATAACCGTGTATGCATCGCGGTCAATGCATACTGCGAGGAATTGTCATACCTCCAACGAAAATTAGGTCGCTTATGTATTAAATAAAATTAATTATAATCTTTTAACCACCCCATATCCCTCCTCGCGCCAATCAGGATATTTTCACCAAAAATTTTTCTGCGTGTTCTATCGTAATCAAAACTCACTTAATATGCGAATTTTCCGTTGAGAACACCTATGATAATTTTACGTTTGAAACCATTAAATGGTCCATAAATGGAAAGAATTTTCGAACATTCTGCTTTTTTTGTTGTAGTTCACCAAGGCGCACACGTGAAATATTAATGAGGGGATTTCCAGGCCAGTGGATGAGAATTCGTTCTTGGCCAGGACTACACAAACAGTGCCAACAGAAGGTAATACAGATAGTCTTACATTACGTAGTCGAAAATCATTGCTATCTCACTTGCGCAATTTAATTGTGTACATTGCAGTGCATTTTATCTTATTTTTAATGCTTACGTTTTTATAATATCTCGTTTGTATGAAAGAAGCAGAAATGACTGTGTCAAGCTTAACGGCGCTAAAAGTTGGAATACTCTTTCAGGTAGCCAGCTTAGCACTAAAAGCATGTTAGAGCTCATAGATGTCGTCTGTGGAGGTGAACAAGGTTAACCGAGGTGTCTAGGGTGACCTAATTGAAGAAATGCAAGGATCTGTTCGAAACGAGTATCAGCTCATTAGTAGAGTGCTGGAACAATCTCGAACGAAAAGAATTCTACAAAATTACTCTTTCACAAAGGAATGACAAACTGTGAAAGGAATCACCGTAGTAAATGAGAAAACCCTTTTGGTTATAATAAAATGAGATCTAAGTGTACGAAAATGAAGAAAATGAGGTTCTCAGGAAAGCATTGCTTTCTTGGAAACAGGAAAATCGTAACCCTAGCCATCAGCAGACTGGACCCATGGAGCAAAAGCAATGATTCTGCATCCGGAACCAATTTTTCCGGAATGTACTAACAATGCTCAAATGGAAGTTAAAGAACAAGAAAATTAACGATTTAGTTTTCCATCGTCACGTGACGTTCAACCTTATGTATCAAATTGGTGCCGCTCGTCAATAACAGCTTTTCAGAGATAATCACTTGTGATGGGCCATGTGGTCATACCTACTCATCGAAGACTATGAATGTTCTTGGAAGGTGTGGGCACTTCCTGTGCAACAACTGTCATGGTCTTGTCTACAACGACGACGGTATTGCTTTCCAGCTATCATGAATGAGTTAATAATTAGTATATTGAGGTGCAATCGTAGTCTGTAATCAACGTTCATCCTGGCTCAGCATCTGTTAATATGATATAAAATGCGATTTCCAATACATAACACTTCACATTGCCCAAACCGGCTAAGTTACACGGTAACCATATGCTTTCGATATTTTTTGTCCTTGTAAAAATTATCCGTGTCATTCTCTTGCTTATGGAGATTTCGCGTGTAGTGCAATAGTCAGAGAGACCCTGTAATACACATGGGATCGATCGCTGTGCACCAGGCTCACAAGCCTTCCATCCTTCCGAGGTCGGCAAAGAGGTACTACACTTGCCCGGGTGGATAGCAGTAGTGAGTAGATATATTCGTACTCCACCTCGAGTCATTATAAATGCATTCAATCACCTCCAACTGTGCTTGATGAAGTTGAACACATGGCTCATCTCACAGGGAATGATCAACGCTGATAGCTCTATCCTTTTGATTCTTTATGGAGATTTTATCATCCGAGTACCATCTCATTTGCAGGAACTAAGGGGTGCAGTAATTTCCAATGCGTTTTCGCCACCCTATACGATTATCTACCGGAAGATTCTGCTCGTAAAGCATATGAGAACTACGTCAGTATTATCGTGCCTTGTAAATTTTTGGTAATGAATGTGTTCTCTTAGCCGAAACTTTAGATTATGAAACGTCAACGTGCTCGAGAAATGCAGAGGGACCAATCACCCTCGACGAAGTCCAATGATCCGTTGTCGAGCAGCAGCATACGAAGAAGGCAAGCAGGGCTATCCTGTACTAGGAGCAGGAGGTTTTTACAAAAACATATAGGTTTTGTACCAGAAGACCGGATATTCATGTACTAGTTCCCACAATTCGTTTTCATCATTATCATTCTTTCTCTCTGGTCTTATTTCTTTTGTATTCACAAGTAGCCGGATTTTCGCTAGATTCTTTGCTATGTCTGAGACAGTGTCGAACCTATCAGTCTCGAATCGATAGGAACATTTTAATGCTTGGAGCCTGACGAGTGAATTTCCACTGATACGTGGGTATTGATTGGCCGAAACAAGATCATTTCAGTTCATTACACATGCCACGAAAAAATAGCCATTGGACTCAACTTTGGTGAACGACATTTAAGTTTCATTAAAAGTGATTTATGCTTGATACTTAAATGGCCCGTCCTCACTGGTTGTGCGGGCCTCAGCATAGCCTCCATTTTTCGGAGATTTGCTGGTTAAGCCATTATGGTTTCCTGGAGTGCCGAGCTTAGCCTGGCCAAAGTCTGCCTCAGGTCTTCACCACCACGGGAAGTCGCATCCCTTGCGGATCAGTGGGAGATTTACCACCATGCGACTTTGATGCCACGACGGTGGTGGATCCTGGTATTGGTTTACTCTTAGCTAGGCTTCCTGTTGAAGACGCCGGACTCCTCAGCTTGGAGACCCTGCTAGGAGGGCGAATCCTCCCGCTGTACATCACAGTTCGACACCCAGGTACACCTCCCAGCCACGATGAGGCGGTAAACCGTTGGGAGGAATAGTGGTCTATCTGCATGAAGTACAGCTTTCTTTCTTAGCGAACGCATGGCTGCGGTGTACCACGAAAAATTGGATCCTAATGAAAACTAAGGTATATTCCAGTTTTTTCTCTATTCCAGTGATTCAGTGACGAAAGAGTATGCAGAAAATTCTAACGGTTCACCATTTTGTTAATAAAGTCTTAGCTTCGTCCATAGGTATGATATATCTAGTAGCAGTACCTAAAATTAATATAATATTGTATTATGGTTGCATCCCCGCTACTTGAAGGATTCCTTGGTGGACACTCAACACTACATTCATCCTTCTAAATATCCGGTAGATAGCGAATTCCTTACATTACACAAGCGCATACAGTCAGCCCAAAAGTCATGCTAGTTCAGCAGATGGGCTCTCTATCTTTGCACCGTTTAAATATATTTTCCACGTAGTGTAGTCGTACGCATATACATATATGCTATGCAATTAGTCGTATATACTTAGATGAGAGCGTCTTAAAGCCCGGGTTATTCATTCTCCAGCGTCGATCACTCGATATGAGTAGGAGTTTGACATTTCTATCAGGAAAGGTATTCATGGCTAAACAAATGGAATGACAGCTTCGTTAGAGGAGAACTATGCTCAGTTTCGCATTACTTCGCAACTTTTCAATTTATAGTGCTTATTGACCGATGTGTGACAGCGATTTGGCAACACTTTGGCTTTGCAACTGTGGTGCTAGGAAAAGGACTTGTCCAGAAAGTAAAAGCAGTACGGAAAATGAGTACCGCATGAACGTAGTTAAAAGCTAAAAATTTCTGATACCTGAATGGTCCTCCTTCGCAGGAAACTATGCAGGTCACGGTATTTTCTTCCGCTTCCCATTTCGTTCGAGGTATTCCAAAATTGGTGCTTTATTCATGAAAAGTTCTTCTGGAAGCTCTACAAACGCTGTACGTGGACCTACTTCAGCTGACATCTTCAGATGGCCATAGCAAATGCCAACGAGGAGCTGGCACCATTCACATTTAAGACACCCATTTTATTACGAAACTATTGAAGCTGACGTTATAGAACCATAAGTTTGTCAACGGTTCCTTCATCCGATTAGAAGATTGCTATTATGATCTGTCTAGGCTGATTTACGTCTGAATTAGTGTAAAAATCGTATGAAACTACTTTTCTTTCTTCTATTTTCATTGCCACAGGGTTAAGTTGAATGTCAATTGACATGGAAGAAACTGAAACCTAGAGTTACACTCATATCTTAGGTTTTCGAATACCATTAGAACAAGCGCACGTAAATTTATTTGAAAAGTCAAGGATATGAAAGGCAGAACTGAATCTTGTTTTCAGAAAGACACCCAGCTCATCGTCAGGTGATGCATTGCAGTGCAATAAACATCTGCTTAGAGAGATCTTCTCTGATGCGTCTTCAAATTCTTGCTGTGTGAGTGATAAAGGAGAACGAATAACTTTGTAATACTAATAATATTTGTACCCGATTTTAAATCTACAAGAACATATCGAGCGAAAGTATCGGCTGCGCATTCACGGATGATGTGAAGTCGATTACCATTTGATTATTATTGGACCACGAAATGGCTTTAGCCGATCAGATACGATATAAACGTTGTTCGCAAAATCCTTAGAAATGATGTTAAGAAAGAAAATTCAAACAGAAATCCTTGTATGGTTGACTCATATTCGTTTAAAATAGTCTTCCCGTTCAGCAAGAAACACCATCGAGCGAATTCGAACTTCTTAATATTCGACTTATGATCTTTGAACCTGGTCCATTCAAAGCTATAAGACGGTCTGTTTTCAAACTGTGTTTTCCTACTTTATGAATGGATTGCCTTTACGTAAAACGCGAGTCAATTTCAGCATTCATATCTGTCATGAGATGTCAGCTTCCCTAACACTAAAAGAGGCAATTGACGAACTCGTAGAAGGAAAAATCGGGTAGATTTACGCAAAACCTTTTCCCTAGGAAAGTTTTCATGTCTTGTTACCTGATATCTGACGTTTTTCATTATGTTGACTGAAGCTTAAAAACATGGAATTTAGCGCGATTCGTCATGAGTGTCCTTCTCGTCTTTTCCTCTGTACTGATAAAAGTAGCGGCGGCTTACGCAAGATTTCGGTAGAAGAGGTATTTTTGCTCCATAGTGTTTATGATTTAGATGCTTTTTTCCTCAAAATCTTACCTATTTCATCGTTGGTATTTTCTTCATTTCTTCTAATTCATAAGAGATAGAAGGACAAAGCATTCGTCACTGTTGAAACCTCTGAAGATGCACCGCTTGATTCACTCTGTTACTTGATAGTTGAACGGCCCGTCCTCACTGGTTGTGCGGGCCCCAGCATAATCTCCACATCTCGGGATTTGCTGGTTAAGCCATCGTGGTTCGCTGGAATCCGGAGGTCATCTGGTTAAAGTCTTCTCCAAGTCTTCACCACCACAGGTAGCAGAAGCCCTTGTGGATCAGAGAGAGATTTGCCACCATGCGACTAGTTTGATAGCAGTCTCTCTATTCACTCTATTAAGCATCGCTAAGACGATTGAATGCGTATTTTTTTAAAATAATAACTTGAGAGTGCCTAATGGCGTAAAATTTTATTTTTATCCTCCAACACAAATTTCTTACCATTTTTCCGAGTGTCAAATGTATGAGGCGCGTGTGACGCAGTGGTTACGGGCGCCCTGCAATACACGTGGGATCGACCCTGCGCCTCAGGCCCACCAAGCCTTCCATCTCTCCAGAGTCGAGAATATGGTGCCATATCTGTCAAAGAGGATAGCAGCAGTGACTTGATACATCGGCAGAGGATCTTGAGACATTCTATAGGTCATATATGCATTCAATCACTTCTAAGGATGCTTAATGGAGTTAAATGCATAACGCGTCCTCTAGGGATTGACCAACGCCGACACTTTCTCCTTTTATCTCTTATCAAAAGGATAAAAGACATGGTTAACCTTTAATTACTTCAATGCGCATTACGCCTCTAATATGGTCGTCTTAGATTTTAGACGTAATTCATTGTGTAGCGTTCTTTTTCGCCTAGAAATCCATATTGCAAACGCGTTTGTTTAGTTCGAAACCGCTCGATTATGGCAATATCCGGCTCGAAACAGTACGCTGCACTTTGTTCTCGATGCAGTCGGATATCTGAAGGTCGTGGATTGATCATTTACTTCAAAGGCTGAAAAGATGTCTCACATACCGTAGACTTTGTCATGCGATTTGTGTGTTCTTTTGAACGATTATAGCGATAAATAATTTTTGTGTTTTACCATCCATGACATCAATGATACTTGTTACTTGACACTTAAACAGTCCGTTCTCACTGGTTATGCGGTTATAGTTATACGATAACCGTTCAACTCGGAGTATTTCTGGCGTTCTACGCACGCAAACACGCAATTAATACGTTATTGATTAATAGTGGACCTTGAACTATGGCAGTAATACCTAGCAGCAAATGACAACACAATTTCTATTGTAAGAACTGATTTTGGTGCTGTGATAAGGACACCTTGTCGATACTCACCGTCTCCATCATTGAGATCAGTCCACGTGTTTTTGCCACATATTTCGTCACTAACCGAACCCGCAATAAAGATAAGATCATGACATGGTAAGACGAAAACATTGCCTAGTGCTGTTAGAAATTGTTAGAAGATAGTGAAATAACGGCTTAATAAGAGCGTTGTTCATTTACAACGGTGAAACCTATGAACGGTTATGTGTGAGACTGGAGATTCGATGACCCAATCTTCAGGTAAATGGTTCTTCTTTTCGGTGTTAAAGGTAACACTAAGACTAAAAATATCTTTCGACTGTAACTTTTATTAAGAGTTTTCGTAAAATTTTATTCGATAAGCAAGTTCATTAGGCATTCGCTACATAAAACTGTACATATGGAAATCTCTTAAGAGCGGCATCAGTACGTTAATTATTGTGTACTTAGTATAACAGTAAAGAAGTCCACTAAGAAGCAAACGGTTCATTGTTCAATCCCCGTCCACATTCAAATCAATTTGTTTGTTACAACAAGTTTTTTCAAAGGAAATCAATATTATTCACTACTTCGAAGAACTCGTGAGCTGAACACGAAGTGTATCGCTGCACCCCATAATTTCTATCCATGTATTCTTGCTTATTTCACACGACACTTTTTTGCATTTACTCTGTGGATCCCAGCACATCCTCTTGCATGCAATTCATTTCCTTGCCTCCATCATCCACGCAAATTCAGACTTATCTGTGGAATTAGTTAGTGGGTGAGGATTTTCACCTTTGTCATTAATGTCGTTGAATGCTAGTGTGGCCGATCCTCTCTGCAATCATGCAACAGCTTGATGGGCGTTCTGGGGAGGATTTAGGAGAATCTGTCTTTACGTCTACTGTCCGGATCCCAGCACTGCTCCCAACCAATTCGTTTCCTCACATGCATCGTCCAAGAACGTCTTCCAAGTTTTTAAGTGTGGCTACGGTTGCTGCTTGAGGATTTTTATTTCATCTTGGGTGTTGTAGAATTCCGGTCGAGCAATTCTTCCTGGAATCCTGAGGTAGCCGAACTGGAGCGTTCCCAATTGGATTGAAGAGAGTGATTCTTTTCCAGACACGTTCTATACCAATTTCCTAACCGCGGAAAGATAAGAGGCTTGGTTGGCTCGGTGTGGAGTCGAACTAGCACCACGACCGTTATGGCGGAGATCACTACCACTGTGCTCTCCGTCCCCAAGAATGTTTATTCATTTTCTTATATGAATAATAAACTGGAATCGAGATTAGTGTATAGCAGGGATTTGATGCGATGTACCAATATAAATGTGGTTGCTGACGGATTCGTCGAACTGGCGACACCACAGCCAAGAATTACTGCAATGAATTAAGAAAATGAATTTGTGCTCTTTTTCGGATTTCCGGCTTGCTTATTACATAGAAATTTCGATGCTTAGGCAACTCCTTTTCTTCTTCCACGAAGGTACTCTTCCATTCACTTCGATGTTTCTCCTTGGATGTTCCCCCTTGGATGTACGTGGACTTCTTTCCTAATTGACATGTTGAGCGCTGTACAAGCATGTTTTTCCGTGGAATCCCAAGATAGAGTGTTACAAAGTGCCCGGGTGCTCACTACAGGCAGTGGATCCGCACGATGTTTGCTCTCTTGCGACACGGATTAGTCAAGGGCGGCGAGGGCTATGAGGAAATGAACGGCCGATCTGTATTGATGTAATGGGCCGAATCCTATTTAATCATTATTCAATAAGAAAGCTGATGATCGCTTTCCATTCAGCTATATGAGTTTTCGTTCTTGAATGAAGATGAAGACCATTCAACGACAATCTTCGAGATTATTACACTCTCAGAAACTAATGTCCTTATTTTCTTTCCTTTTTTTACTACGAATTTGTAACTCCTAAATAAATGCTAAGTCATTCTCGTGACCATGCATTCAGATTACTCTGGGCAATCTGTCCAACCATCTTCTCTCCGTAACGTGAGGACCGTATTTGAAGCTGGTGATGAGAAAGCTGTGCAGCACCGAGCTTTGCCAATTAGAATCAAATCGGTAAGCTTCGGCGTTTATTCTATCGTTACGCTTCCGACGAAAATCAGATTATGTGGATTTAACGCTGAGATCACATTTGCCTAAAAGCTATGCACAGATCTCAGCGAAGCAGTGGGATAATTTGTGTGGATATCTATGGCCCATGTGGAGCAGTGGTTTGAGACTCCACTACGACACACACTTGGAATCGATCCCGCTCCCATGCCCCACCAAGCCTTCCATCTCTACGGGGTGGGAAAATTGCTACCAGAATTATCTAGGAGGATAGCAGCACTGGTTCGATACATCGATAGACCACTGCGAGTCATTGTAAAGGCTAGATATGCATTCAATAACCTCCAACGATACTTAATGACGTCGAATGCATGGTGCATCCCTCAGGGATTGATAAATGCCCAGAGCTTTATCTTTTATTTATTTTATTTATCTGCGACCTTTAGCAATTTCGATAGCGTGAAATGTAGGTATCGATTAGCAGTGAATCAAAAGATGCGCTACACAGAATACTATATTTTATCAACTTTTTATTTACTGCCTATTACAATTTTTCACGGCTGGTTAATATGTGAAATACAACCACAATAAAGCTGAGATATTAGCAAAATTCTAGACAGCAGTTGTTTGCGGTGTGGATCGAACACGCTATTACCGTTAATCTGCCGTGATAATTGCAGTAAGCAGCAAACAAAAAGTTAACATTATGATTTCGACTACATCCCCAGCTTAACCGAGTTCATGTCCGATTTGTGCTCCGAGATCAAGCCCATTGACAGGCGATTGCTGAAGGTACTGATAGATAGCAAAGTAGGTGAGAGAAAAGTGAAAAGAAGGACCCACATGGTGCTGAAGTGAACGCGTCAGACCACGGCAACGGTGGTAGCGTGTTTGATCCCCACCGCACACACCCGCCCTCCCGAGTATTACAGATATCTCAGTTCCATTGTGGTTGTATTTCACTAAATTTTGGATTCATCACCGAATCAAACCTGTCTGGTATAAATGAGGAATATTCCACTTTTCTTACCTGAAGGTAGATATTGCAATCAGGTTGAACGGCGTCGATCAATCTTTGGGCGATGCATTATGCATTTTCATCAATCATTGTTAGAGGTGATTGAATGCGTATATGGCTTGCAGAATAACTTACGGTGGCTTACCAATGTATCAAGTTAGTGCTGCTGTTCTCCCAAACAAGTCTGTTACCAAGATAACGACACCGAAGGGACGGCAGGCATGGCGAGCCCGTGGTGCGCGATCGAGCTAGCGATTGACATTAATACAAAATAAATGCTATTGTCAACATTGGTTCTTTTGCTGAATGCCAGTACATCACCTTGCAAATATATTCTTGAAGAGGACGTGTTGTTCTATACAAAGTGCATCATAAGAGTACAGAATCATAGATGTACAAATGCGAGGAGCAACGTATTGTCCCAATGGCACCACCCTTTCGTGGATTTTCCGCCTTCGTACGATTTCAGTGCCGTGCCAAATTACATCACGTTGAAAGAGTCAACGTCACAGGTATGGTCGGTTGATCTAGACCAATTGACAATTTTTATTATACATGGTGCAATTTATGAGTAAATGTTCTTCCCAAATATTTATCTTGTTGTATATAGTCTTTCTACTATAATTTTCGTATCAAATCGACAATTTAGCCAGCCCAGATTTTGTCCCAGGCATTGTCAATGAAAAGTCTTATCCCATAGTTAATAATCCGTATGATTTTTCAGTATGCTTTTACCACTCACTGGATCATTTATCATTAACAGATTTTGAGACAGGCAATAAATATTGCAAGTAAAAAGGGCACAGAGATAGCGAAAGTATCACAATTAACGAGTGCACTATTGGGAGTGTTCCGAGGTTCTCGGATAAGACCCGCGCTAACCACTTGCCTTTTGTACTCCCAGAGTTTCGAAAGACTGTTGCTAATAGGGAATGTACCTAATTTGTCTACCCTGGGAGTCAACAAAGGAGGCTGCGAACTCCATACGATTCCTGGCGTATGGGGCGGAAAATTAGCCATAGTCCCATGTGTCCGCCATCCCAAATTAGGAGTACTGTGTTATGAGCTAATTGGGTGGTTACAACACGCAACAATATGCAATTCTCTTCAGCCATACGTAATTTTAGCTTGGTTGTTGATATGGAAAAGCAGCTAAAACTTTTAAAAATAGATCTATTGACAATAAGGAAACCAACTGTCACATGGTGATAGATTTCGTAAGGAAAAATAAAGAATTTCTCTTCCTCCTTGGGTATTGTCCTGATGACAAGACGGTTCTTATATAACCGAAATAAGGATAAGTTCTTGAATCTTCTCACATTTAACTGAATAAAAGAACAGAGAATAAAGCACTCGGCGTTGATCAGTTCTCGAGGGATGCGTTATGCATTCAACCTCATTGAGCACTATAAGGGTGATTGAATGCACATCTTACAAATACAGTGAGTCGTGCAGGTTTTCAATGTATCATGTCACTCACCGTTGTTACCCTTCCAGACAAAATATGAATGGATAGCTTGGTTTCCTTGGGTCTCCGGACTGACCCAGTAACTAAACGTGCATTTTGGGACACTTCAAACCACTGCGCTGTAGACGAATTTGTTTGACAGAATATATTAAATCCTTACTTTGATACTTGTATGGCCCTGGTTGTGCGGGCTTCAGCATAATCTCCACTTTTTCGGAGCCTTGCTGGTTTAGCCATTGTGGTTCTCTGGAGCCCCCAGGCCAGCCAGGCCAAAGTCTGCCCCAGGTCGTCACCACCACAAGCAGTCGCCGCTCTTGTGGACCAGAGGGAGATTTACTACCACGCGACTAGTTTGCTACCAGGACGGTAACGGATTCTGGCATTAGTTTACTGTGTATTAAATCCATGTCAGTATATCCAGTTCGACTATTTAGTTCCGGATTGGAATCTTGGAGTATGTAAGTGAATCATATGCTAAATAGCTGAGAGACGTGCGAAACAAAGGACCCGCATGGTGTGGTGGTGAACGCGTTACTCCCCGGAAAGGACAATAGCGCGTTCGTTCCCCACCATAGACACCTGCGGTCCAGAGTTTTGCAAATATCTCAGCAACGTTGTGCATATGCTAAACGATTTTTATTCGATATGAAATGTTAAAGCAGTAAGAAGTGCGACATGGGCAAGTTGACTGACGTTTCCCATGTATCGACTGTTATTTTTCTGTGGTTAACTCCAAACTAGGAAAAAGGACATTTTTTTCGAATGACATAATAGTTGCCCTTCTTCCCACAAGCAATAATCATGAAAACTATTTACTTTCATAGAAATAGTTTCTCACAAGGAAAAGAACCCAAGAGCAAATTAAGGTACTGGTTTTCTACCGATGCATCAATTGCACTCATTAGTTGGTGCTACTTTAGAGAAACATTAATTTCTCTATCGATTGATTTCTAGCAGTTATTCTCTTCATCGAGGTCACAGTCATCTATTTGCCTCTGAAACGTATATGTGAAGGTGTATGTATGTCCATAAAGTTGATGAACACTACGAAATTTTTCTACTACTACACAAGTGATTTCAGAGCTTGACAACCAAGAGGCGCTAACGAATCAATCGATGTGAGCGAAAAAAAGTTTCACATAAATCAGTCCATTGTTACAATATTGAGGGATAAATTTTTCCAACTACACGTTAATCTTGTAAACATCAAGACTTCAAAATGTGTCCTGAGGTAGGAAAAAAAAACTGCAAGCTAATTTCGAATGTGCGAAGTGCTGTAACTCATTGGATTGTTAGGATTCATATTCCACCAGAAACGATGACGTCATCAATACTCTGGCGATTCGGTGACAATGATGTTAGACTTTTTTTATTTACTGCCTTTTACTAGTTATCACGGCAGGGTATTATTTGTGAAACAACCACGATGATGCTGAGATATTTGCAAAACTCCGGACCAAAGGTGTCTGCTGTGGGAAATGAACGCGCTACTGTCCTTTCTAGGGAGTAACGCACTCACCACCGCACCATACCGGTCCTTCAATTCGCCTGTCTCTCCGCTAGTTCTATCGTTCTGTGCCGTCAGCAATCACCCGCCAGCGGGATTGATCTGGCGAGCCCAAATCGGTAGAACTAGCTGAGAGACAGGCGAAACGAAGGAACTGTAAGGTGTGGTTGTGAGCGCGTTACTCCCCGGAAAGGACAATAGCGCGTTCGTTTCCCACCGTAGACACCTTTGGTCCGGAGTTTTGCAAATATCTCAGCATCATAGTCATGTTAGAGTTTGTCTTAAAAGAACAGCATTGTAACAGTATAGAACACATATGGTACAACAAATACTTAAGACACAAAAGGGGAGGACTGTTGAAAAACTGCCAGCTGATGGTTCTCCGAAGAATCGTCGGTGCGCTACCTGAGTAGTTAGTCATGCGACTAAAATTAAAATGCATGGCTTTCTATTTACTGGCTACCATTTTACGCGGTGTTGGCTTACCTCTCAACGATTTACAGGCTCATAGTGGCTGGAAGGTGTTTCTGGGTGTCGGACTGCGATGTATAGCGGAGGATTCATTCCCTGGCCGGGTATCCCAAGCTGAGAAGGAGTCCGGCGTTTCTATCAAGAAGCCTAGCTAGGAGTAAACCAATACGAGGACTCATCACTGTCTTGGTATCAAAGTCGCATGGTGACAAAGCTCCTTTTGTTCCACAAAGACGGTGACTGCCTATCGTGGTGATCACCTGGAGCAGATTTTGGCAAAACCGACCTCGGAACTCCAGGGAACCACAATGGCTTAACCAGCAAATCTCGGATTATGCTGGAGCCCGCACAGCCAGTGAGAACGGGTCATTGAAGTATCAAGTATTTTAAACGGTAGCGTGTTTTGTGAAATCTGGTCTGGGATCCAAGTTTTGCAAATATTTCAAAATCATCGTCATTGTGAAATCGGAATACTTGAATTTCTTCCACTGCTGTGTTGTTAAAAATAGTCGACTTATAACGGACTAGTGACCTTTAAACAGTTATATTCACAAATCACTATGAGAGGCTAGTATGATTCAATCACAGAAGAATAGACTTTGACCGCGAATAGCATCTGGATTTAAAAAGAGTTCGGTTTCCCTCTGCTGCTTAGAGTTAGGCTATGTTTCGTCTTCCATAGGTGTTTTAAGACAAGCAGTTTTTATAGAGAAAACTCGAAAATCAACACCATTTGCACCATTCATTTTCACTATCGAAAGCTAAAGAATTAGACACTTTTTAATAACCGTTCTTAGATTTTCGTCATTTAACACTTCTTTTGCTATCATTCGTCGTCCGCTCGGTATGTTATAGGATTGTCTTTGCTTCTCGCCCAGATGTGCGTTGCCGTCATCTTTAACTGAACCACAGATTGTGATGTCACATAAGAAGGAAGTGATATGAAGAATATTCAAATTGCTCATGCCATATCAATAACAATCGGGATATGGATGCAAGTTCACATTGCTGACCACACAGTACATCATTGTAGGCTATAGCTAAAGTTATAGAGAGAAAGAAACAAAAAGAGAAAAAGGAAAGGTGCATAGAGAGGGAATAAAGGAAGTGAGAACGTGAGGGAGAAGAGGGACGGTCGAGAACACAGGGAGGTTCCATGCATTCGACTTCACTAAGCATTGTTTGGAGGTGATTGAACGCATATTTGGCCTATACAATGACTCGCGGTGGCCTACCGATGGATCGTGCTGCTATCCTCCAAGACAAGTATAGTACCAATTTGGCCCCGGAGGAATGGAAGGTTTGGTGGGCTATGGGCCTCGGGGATCGATTCCACGTGTGTGTTGCAGGGGGCTCCCGACCACCGCACCACGTCATTACGTCTAAAAATGTCTATTATAACCGTGCCATTAACCATGCATATCATGAATTCCACTATAACCGTATTACTCAGATGCATTTGTGGTAAAATTATGATGCGAGGATTGAGAGCAAAGGAGTAGGGTGCTCACCGTTTTGAGTTGTAAATACAGGATAGAAATGTTCTTTCATATTTAAATTGATTTTCCCTTCTTCTCTTTACCACTTCTCTATTCTCCCTTCTATCCTTGTCATTTCTATACCTAGTAGTAAAGCTTTCTCTTAATACTCAACGTTGGAGAGTCATTTTATGAGCAATGGTAGAACAGAAACTATAGTTCACAGCTTGTTTACGTGAATATGTCAGCGATCATGTGAAAAGTGTGCGTATTGATCCGCACGGCGATGTGGTGTTTGCATTCGCCATTTCCAACTAACGGAATTCTCTATGAATTTTACGTTTGAACAGTTTAAACCTCATCGAGTTTACCTTGTACGTGCTAAATTGTGATAATACTGGGGAACGCAAAATTTTTATCTTTCATCGAAGGAAAACAAGTATGTACAGGTATATATTCGGTAGTAAGAAAACTGCAAAGCTATGTAAAGCACGTAATTACTAACTAGAGGATTTCTAATTTATAATACATGTGTACATATATATATATTTATATATATGTACATACTCAATACTTGATACTTGAATGGGCCGTCCTCACTG